TTATTTGGGCAAGTTTGTAGTTGTGTTCATTGATGACATACTGGTGTATTCTAGAAGTGAAGCAGAACATGAGGAGTATTTAAGGATTGCTCTACAGACTCTAAGGGAGAATAAGCAATACGCTAAGTTGAGCAAGTATGAGTTTTGGCTCAGCGAAGTGACTTTTCTTGGACATATCGTTTCTGCTGATGGTATTCGGGTGGATCCAAGCAAAGTGGATGCTATTCTGAACTGGAAGCAACCCAGGAATGTTTCTGAGATCCGTAGTTTCTTGGGCTTAGCTGGTTACTACCGTCGTTTCGTTGAGGGGTTCTCCCTTATTGCAGCTCTACTGACGAAACTATTAAGGAAAAATGTTCCATTTGTCTGGTCTGAGAACCAACAAGCTAGCTTTGAGAAATTGAAGACTATTTTAACTCAAGCCCCAGTGCTGATTCAGTCTGAATCTGGAAAAGATTTTTCTGTCTACAGTGATGCTTCTCACTCTGGATTAGGATGTGTTTTGATGCAAGATGAGAAGGTTGTCGCTTATCCTTCGCGTCAGTTAAAGCCGCATGAGCGTAATTATCATATTCACGATCTGGAGTTAGCTGCCGTGGTTTTTCCTTTAAAGATCTGGAGACACTACCTTTACGGAGAAAAATGTTATATGTATACTGATCATAAGAGTCTGAAGTATCTACTTACTCAGAAAGAATTAAATTTGAGACATCGTCGCTGGTTAAAGCTTCTAAAAGACTATGATCTAGAGATAGAATACAATCCAGGGAAGGCTAATATAGTGGCAGATGCCTTAAACCGTAAGGCGATATCAGATCTCAGAGCCTTATTTGCCAACTTGAGTTTATTTGATGATAACATTTTATTAGCAGAGTTGCAGGTTAAACCCACTTTGGCCGAAGATATTAAGGCCAAACAACTTTTGGATAACTTATTGATTCCCATTATTGAACAAGTTAAACAGGGATTGAGTTCAGAGTATACAGTGGATCGGGATGGTATTTTGTGTTTTCACAGTCGTTACTGTGTCCCTAAAGATGATGAGTTGAGACGGATTATTCTTCAGGAGGCTCATAGTAGTCCTTATGCTATGCATCCTGGCGGGGACAAAATGTACAATAATCTCAAGGAGCGCTACTTTTGGACTGGTATAAAAAAGAATATTTCAGATTTTGTGGCGAGGTGTTTGACTTGTCAGCAGGTTAAGGCAGAACACCAGCATCCATCTGGATTGTTACAGTCAATTAAGATTCCTGAGTGGAAATGGGAGCGCATTACAATGGACTTCGTTACTGGTCTTCCTCTGACTCCTTCCAAAAAGGATTCTATTTGGGTGATTGTTGATCGACTCACCAAGTCAGCATACTTTATCCCTATCCGGATTAATTATTCTCTAGACAAACTGGCTAAGTTGTACATTTATGAGATCGTTAGACTTCATGGTGTACCATTGTCTATCATATCTGACCGAGATCCGAGGTTTACTTCCAGGTTCTGAAAGGCTTTGCACGAGGCTCTGGGTACTCGTTTGAATTTCAGTACGACTTTTCATCCTCAGTCTGATGGATAGTCTGAGCGAGTTATTCAGGTGTTGGAGAATATGCTATGGGATTGTGTGATTGATTTCCGTGATAGTTGGGAGAGTTTGCTTACAATAATAGTTATCAAACGAGTATTCGCATGGCACCGTATGAGGCTCTGTATGGACGTAGATGTCGTACTCCTATATGTTGGACAGAGTTGCATGATAGAAAAACTTTGGGTCCAGACTTGATTCGAGAGACTGAAGATACTGTCAGATTGATCCGTGATCGTTTAAAAGAGGCATTTGATAGGCAGAAATCATACGCAGATAAGTGATGTAAGGATATCGAGTTTGAGGTTGGAGATCAGGTTTTTCTCAAGGTATCCCCATGGAAGAATGTATTGAGATTTGGACGTAAGGGTAAACTGAGTCCGCGATTTATTGGGTCGTATTGTATTTTGAAGAAAGTTGGACATGCTGCTTATCAGCTTGAGTTGCCTCCACAGCTTAGTCGTATTCATGATGTTTTTCATGTGTCTATGTTGAGGCGATACCGTCCAGATCCGGATCATATCATTCAGGTTGACGAGGTAGAGCTGAGACATGATTTGTCATATGAGGAGGAGCCTATTCAGGTTTTAGAGAGGGATGAACGAGTTCTTCGGAATAGGCGTATTCCAATGGTCAAAGTTCAGTGGAGTAATCGTAGTCCCTCAGAAGCTACTTGGGAGACTTTGGAGTCATTGGAGGCTCAGTTTCCTCATCTATTTTCATAAGGTACATTTTGAGGACGAAATTTCTTGTAGAGGGGGAGAATTGTAACAACCCGGAAATTTGAAAAAAATATTTAATTGTAATTTGAGGTTTTAATTAAGTAATTTGGTTTTGGGGATTAAATTGAAAGATTTTAAAACTTATAGCTTGTTTTAGAGTTAAAGAAAATTTAGGGACCAAACCCTAAATTTACCCTAGAAGGGTTGGTAAGTTTGGTTATATACGTGCAATTGGTTTCTGAAAATCAGAAACCAATTGCTCCCAAAATTCCCTTCCCAACACCCATCTTCCAACCACGATCCCGACGCCGTTTGAATTTTGATCGTCGTTTTGAAACCACCATCGTGTTCATCATCGAGTGAGGAACAAACCCCTTAAATTAATTGAAGTGAAACGCTTCCAAACGCCGGGAATTTCAAGTCAAAGTCTCGACGTTTTTTTAGCACAATCGTCGAGAAAATCTTAAATTCACCGTCGATCGTTGATCCGTTTTAGACACCTCTAGCACCATCTGTTCCTTGTGCCATTTCGAGTCCACCGGTGTCATCCTTGGTCTCCGTCGACGGCGGCGCATGAGGAGGTAAAAAGGTCAAAGTTTCAGATTTGTTGAAATCGAGCTCTCCGCAATTCAAAAATTTGAACTGAGCTTTGTAAGTATCTCGAAATAGCTCAAAATAATTTTTAGGAATTTTTCCGTGAATTATAGGACGCCAGAAGAGGTCCCACGCGCCGCCATTACGCGTGGGGAAGACTCGGCCGCTGCCTTGTAATCGGTTCAATCGGTTTTGACCGGTCTGAACCAGGTTGATCGGTTCGAACCGTTGACCCGACCCGACCCGATCGTTGACCCGACCGTTAACTCGACCCGACCGTTGACCTGACCCAACCATTGACCGTTGACCGGGTGGTATTTTGGTAATTATTTTGAAACTGGTGATATTCTGGTAATTATTTCGAAAATGGTGCTATTTTTGTAATTTTTTTAAAAATGCTATTTTCGTAATTTTTGAAAAAATTGTGATATTTTAGTAAATATTTTAAAATGGTAATATTTTGCTAATTATTTTTAAAATGGTGCTATTTTTGTAATTTTTTTTAAAAAAAGGTGATAAATATGTAAAATGGTTGATCATATTTTGACCAGAACTTTGATCGGCTTTGACCGACCATTAAACGGCCTTTAATCTTTTCGCGTATACCTATCCTAACATTGTTCGACGTCCTGAATTCATTTTTGGGGTTCGTTTCACCAAATTCGAACCCGAAAGTCTCCAAATTGTCAGTCAAACCCGTTGACTTTGATTTTGATCAAGAATTCAAAATTTCGAAAGGTCATACTTTATGTTTTAATATTTTGCCAAATTCTGATTCCAAAGTCCGTTTTACCAAATTCTTACCCGAAATCCCCTAATCGAGCATGTGAAACCAAAAGGCTTGGTATTTTAATATTTTGATTATTTATTTGAGTTTTGGTTAAGGAATTGATTCAATAAAATATTTTATGAAGGTACTCGTGTTTCACCTGAGCGAGGATCAGTTAGGTCTGGAGTTGTTCGTTCATCAGATCAGCCCAAACCACGTACTACAAGAATTACCCGTAAATTTCCGTATATTATTTAAATAAAGATTAAGATTATTTATATTAGGATTCCAATATGGATTTTTCCAATTCGTAGGATCTAGCGCTGTAACAGAGCGTGATCGACAAACCCAGTAATATGCTTCCCTATCTGATTTCTCAAACTGTTACAGGTGTGTTTTCCGACAGTGTTACATTATTATTATTTTAATATATATATATGAATATTGTGTATCTGATATCTGATTTACTGCATTTTTCTGATATGATTTCTGGTTACGGTATTTTATACCGATTCTCTGAATACTGATTATCCGATATCTGAATTTCTGTATACTACTGATTTGTCTTCTGATTTCTGTATTTGTATATATGATCTCCAAACATGAACACTTTTATGTTTTAAAGAATTAATCATGGTTTTCATTCAAATACATTCATGAACATCTCATTCATTGGGGGTATTGTTGAAGGAAGTATATCTGCAGGTTCCTCGGCTTTGTGCTCAGGGCCTTATATGTTGTGTGGGCTAGGTGTATGGGGCTGGGTGTATGGTTCTGGGGAACCTACACATTCTGTTGTGATGGGATGGGGGTAGTGTTCATATTTTTAACGACATGATTGCATAAACCGATTTTATTGGAATATTCTTATCAGTATGTTTTTATATACATTGTATGGAGCACACTGAATTTTTAGCTCATTCTGTAGTTTTTATTTTTTTCCAGATAACAGCAGACCGTAAACTATCAAATTTGTCATCAGGGAAGATCAACTACTTATTTTGTATGAACTTATATCTTTATATGTTTTTCAGTTATGTTTGGTGACATGTATTTGCTATCGTTTTGGATATATCTGTATTATTAATATTTTTTTCTGTATTATATCTAATGTATTATAAGATGTTTAAAAAAAATCTCTGAATAAGATATGTGACCACTTAGGTTTTGATCTAAATTACAGACCGGGTCTGGGGGTTACATTGGGTAAGGTAGTGAGAGATGAGGAGGAAGAAGAAGGAAGGCAGGCCTTTAAATATTTGGGTCTAGTATTGGGCTTTGCATCCGGATTGTAATCCTTTTTTCCTCTGTTCGACTAAAATGAAACTTATCACTTTCTTCATTTCTCTAAAACCTAGTCGTTTTCTTCTATTCTTTTCATCGGCTCTCTTGATTGACTGGGTTTTGTTTATCGGAACCTAGATCAAATCTCTTCATACAACTAGATGAGGAGTGAGGGAGAATTTTCCGGATAAAACGACCGGAGATGAATATGAAACTGGTGGTCAAGCTGCCTTCCTCGCAGCAAAAATTGCCGGTCAGTTCAGAATCCCGCAGCTCCGATTCGAATCTCGAGGATACTAACGCGTTCTCGAGTCGAAGGAAGAGGAAAATCAAATCGATCGGGGATGGAGCCGGGATTGCTGATTCCAGAAAGGTTTGACAAATCTTTAGATTTTCTATGAAAAATTAAAACCAACACTTTTTCTCTAATTTCAGCTATTTTTTTGCATTTTAGTTTTGGGTATTTTAACGGGATTTAAAAAAAAGCGCCAATTATGGGGTACCTCAGCCACTAAAGGAAATAAAGCCCGTTATTTGTTCATTTATTAATTGCAGTATTATTTTTCATATTTGTCAATAATTTTCAGGAAGAGAAGTCTTTTCCTGGTGCAAACCCCACACGTAAATGCCAAGGTTTACTTATGATTCAATACCATTTGTTAGAGAAAGCAGTTTTTTTAAAAGGAATTTTAACTTTTTAAGTTATTTATTATGAACCGTTACCAATATGTGTAGGTGGTCAGTTGGATTCTGGACCGTCGACAGCTTTACCAGACAAAAAGCTGTTACTTTACATCCTAGATAGGCTTCAAAAGTATTTCAGTAACCTCTTATGTTGTTTGGTTTGATTTCTTACATTAGATGTAGCATTTTGATAGTCAGTTGACTCAGTTCTGCTGCTTTTGAAATTAACTAATTTCAGGAAGGACACTTATGGTGTGTTTTCGGAGCCTGTAGACCCTGAAGAGGTATGCTCTGCAAATACCATTGTTGTTATTAAACCATATTTTTCTTATTTTATTTAGTTCTCTTTACGCAGCTGCCAGACTACCATGATGTTATCGAGCATCCGATGGATTTTGGAACTATTAGGAAAAAACTTGCTAGCGGGGCTTATGCCACCTTAGAACAATTTGAGGTTCGTTAACATGTTTGTCATTTTATCTTCTATCATTTTCAATAATTTCAGCACTTTGCTGACATTGGTCTCTTCTTGTACTTTCTTTATGTTTCATGATTCCATAATAGTGGTTAATCTAAATATTTTGAGATCTTGTTAATTTCCAGGTGATGGATGTTAATTTCAACTGATAAGTAATTTTACATGGATTGTATTCATGGATGTGCTTTTGGATTTCCTTTGATTGATAATGATTCTGTTCACTAGTCAAAGTGCTATGCTGGTCTTGGATCCTAGTTTTGCGTCTTGTTAAAGTCATTGATTCAAAATTTTTGAAAGCATTTAGCATGAAACTTCTTTTAGCTTCATATTAGCAAAGGAACTATGCTAGATATGTTATGTTGAATGTGCTCCTTTTTTCTTCTGCGCTGTGTTTATTATTGGTCTGTTACCTTCATTGATGATAGTGAACTCCTTAAGTGAAAGATGCGATATAGCTTGCTGTAAGATCTTCATTTTTATCCTGAATGTAGGGAAAATAGACAAAGTTCTGTTATTGCCATGTTTTTAAACCACTTGGTACTACTGGGTTGCATTTATTGAATATGCATGTTCGCCTTCCTTTGGTGATAAAAAAGATTCTATTATTTATACAAATGCAAAAAACTCATTTGTGCTTCGTTGTCGCTAGTAGTCATTTTCTTACACTTCCAATTTTGGTATCATTTCTTTGTTCTCTGAATAGATGTGATGTGCGGAAAAGGAAAAGGATGAAGTGCTGAACATGTTTTTTGTTCTTAGTTGTCCAGCTGATAACAAGAAAGGAAAAATATCCTACATATTCAACTTGTTTTGTCACTGCAAATAAGTTGTTGCTGAAGCAAATTCAAGACTTAAATTCTTTACATTTGAGATTTAAAAGATGATGTGTTTCAGTTATTATCTTCTCGTCTCTAATTATGAAAATATTTTAGAGGTGTAATCTGGTCTATTGGTCATCCTTGATTGATACTTTAATTGTCACTGTAAGAAGCTGAAAATTCGGGATATGTGAATATATTTTTCCTTTTGTTATCTTGCAGAAAGATGTTTTCCTTATAAGTTCAAACGCGATGCAGTATAATGCTCCTGATACTATATATTTTCGACAGGTATGATTAGGCTCCAATTCGTAATTACATTTAAGGTTAACTTTATGTTTTATATGAAAACTTTATTGGTTTCCAGGCACGATCTATACAAGAGCTAGCAAAAAAGAACTTTGATAATTTACGGCAAGATAGTGATGATAATGAAGCAGAACCAAAGGTGATAAGAAGAGGTAGACCACCAACCAAAAATTTCAAGAAGACACCAGGTCGGCCTTCCTTAGAGCGGGCTGCTACAGAATTTTCCTCAGGTGCCACCCTTGCTACTGGTCAAGACAACACCCTATGTTCCAATCATGACACGGGAAAAGGATCTCTTGCATCAGACAAGTCTAATATTGCAGATTCGTCTGGAAATTTGTGTGGTTCTCTCAATGATGTTTACTCAGGCTCATTTACTGAAAACAAATGCGACAGAAATGACGAAGGTACAGGACAAACACTCTTATAACTTCATCCGTTTTTTTTTTTTTTGGTTTTCTTCTCTTATGACTCTCATTAACGTCACCCTTATGTGTTGTTTTATGAGAAGGCGTAATAGAATGTCTTTCTTGCAGGTTCTGTGATGAAGCACAGTGAAAAGCATTTTGTGCTGGATGAGAATAGACGTAACACTTACAATCTGCTCCATTCATCTTCTGCCAGAGAGGCATCTGTGTTGAATACATTCGATGGAGAGAGGAAGCAGCTACTGACTGTACGTATCATGTAGATAAATGGTGGTTTTATAATTTTATTGAGTAGAATATTGAAGCTCTCAGTGCTATAAGTTATGTCCACAAGCATTTTTTGTGGTTTTGAAGTTGAAACACTAATAATGAACTAATGTTTGGAAATTGGAATATGTCTAGGCCAATATAATTTCAGAATTGCATGGCCATATGAATTTGTACATATTTTCGTCCCTAGATGGTGGATTTGTGTGTTTTTTGGGGTCTGAAGATGTCATAATTGGTAAAAATGAAAGATGAAAAGCAGTGAACTGTATAATTGTCACTTAACAATTACATCAATTTTCCGACTAGCTTGAGTGGGGAATCTTAGGTTGGCCTGTGTTGGTTTGATATCTTGTTTTTCATTTGAAGCAGGTGGGGGTATACGTGGAGCATGGTTACACAAGAAGTCTAGCTCGATTTGCTGCTAGCCTTGGCTCAGTTGCCTGGAAAATTGCCTCTAAAAGGATACAAGAGTGTTTACCAGCTGAAGTAAATTTTGGTCCCGGATGGGTTGTGGAAAATGATATTCCAGCACAGAGACCTTTACAACACACTTCGCTATCGTTTCCACCAGGCCAGCAGACATCATCACTGCTCTGCTCTGTACGTCGAAACTCGTGTTCTGCCACTGAATCTTATATCCCAGAAACCCGAGAAGATAAAAAGCCTTCCTATCCCAAAGCTGATAATTTGTCCAAGAAGCATGTTCCTTCTGTTCAATCTATCTCAGATGACCATTTAAGTAAGCCTATACCAGCATTCGGCACTACTTCTGCATCCCTTTCGGCTGCTATAAGATATCCTGAATCATGGAATCCGAAGAGTGAAGGCAGTGATGGATCTTCCAATACTGGTTTTAACCTGACAAACAGCAGTGCGGCAGTCCAGCCGAGGCCTCCCTTCCCAATTCATGCTGGCATGAATGGGTACAATAATAGTGCTTACTGGTATAACCTCCCAGCTCATATGGAAAAACTCATGGGGACTGCCAAGCCTCATGGATTCATTTTCCAGTCATCTCAGAGGCTTGATACTGTCTCAAGAACCGCAACCAACTTTGTGCATCCAACAACTGCAAACTCCAACTCAAATGACCCTAAATTGACAGAAAATTCAGGCACAAAAAACCTGAACTTCCTGTTACCAAATTCTGGACACGAGACGGTGGCAACACCAAGATCAAGGAATCATCGACAAGCCTCGTGGGATGAATTATCAACGCATCAAAAACCAGACTCAAGGTTGTCACCACAACAGAGACCAGATTCAATTCTGCCAGACCTGAATATCGGATTTCATTTGTATCCTAATTCTTAGGCACATAAGCATTTGTATCCTAGCTCATTCTTCGATGAAGATGAACAGGTATTTGGCAATGAACATGAATGCTATGGGCAGAGCAGACTCGACAATTCATGTATTTTATGGTGTTATGATTATGTTTAATATGTTATAGTGTATAAAGTTCACTCTACTTACCCAAATACTCTATTTTAATTCCTCTATTATTAGCACAAATCAAATTGTTTTAGTAGTTAAAAGAATAATTGTTATTCCTAGAGATCTCTAGTTGGAGTACTAACAATTGTAGTATAAATCATTGAAAATTCATTGCCAAATAATTAATGTTATTTGCTACATGTACTATTTTATAATAACCTTATCTTAATAAAAAAATATTCCTCTATTATTTGAAAAGGTAAATATCTCTCTAAGTAACAATTAAATTTTCTTATAACAAATACTATTTTTAAGAAACACATGTCTAATTGTGATTAAATGGTTTTCATAAAACTTTATATAATAATTTTTTAAAATGAAATTATTAAAAATGCATTATTTTTTAAAATATATTAAATTATTATAAACTTGATAAAATATTAAAAACCATAATAATAAAAATCATCTATAGGTAAGAAAAATTATGATGTCCATCCAATTAGCGATATTCAAATGGTTAATTTGGTTATCGATCGAATTAAATTAGTCAAAATTAAATAATCAAAAAATTGTATCCAGTAGGCTGATCGATTTTTTTTAAATATTAATTGAATCGAACAAAGTTTGGTTAATTCAGTCTGTGACTTAATTAACCAATTTTTTAAATAATTTTTTAGCTAGATTAATTCAAATTTGGTAGAGTTTTTTTTATTTGGTTCAAAGTTTGATTTGATCATGAAAGTGAACGGGTCTAGTGTGGTTAAAAAATAGTTGAGCCTTAATTTTTAATGTGTTTAAGCTTAAAATATATGTGTAATATATATGATATATTTAATAAATTTTTAATTTGTTTACCTAATTGATTTCAAACAGAATTAATTGATAACCAAACTTTGAAAAAGTTTAAGTGCCAGTTTGATATTACTTTTCAAAAGTGATTGTGTTGTAGAATTTTTTTTTAAAGTGACTTTTCAAAAATGCAATTTAAAATTTTCTTGTTTGATATTACTGTTAAAAAGTGATTTTTTTAAAAGATAAAATGTCAATTTAGACATTATATTGTAAATTAAAAATATAATATTTAAATTATATTTAATCTTATTAATATTATGATATAAAAAATATATTAGCTTACACTATAATAAAAATATTAAAATATTTTAAGATAATTAATTAATAATATTTTTTATAAATATTTTATTAATAAAAAATATATTATCAATACTTTTTAATATTTGAATTTTTAAAATAATATTTAACCATAATCACTCATTTAAAATTTAAAATAAAATAATTTAAATGATATATTTATCAATTTAATCATTCAAATAAAAAAATTAAAAGATATATATTATAAATAAATTTAAAAGAAATTATTATATATGAAATATATCAATTTAAACTATAATAAAAATAAAAAATTAATTATAATAAAAATATATTTTATAATAAATCACTATTAATATTTTAATATATAAATCATAAGTTTTAAGTAATTAAAATAAATTATTAAACAATAAATTATTTTTTTAAGATTGTTAGTATTAAATTATTGAATTAAAATGTAAATACATAATTAATAAAGACAATTGAATTTTATTGTTCTTTTCCATGGCAAATGAGTGCAACTCAAACTATGATAAAAATTTAAATTTACTTCCAAATTCAAAGTTTAAAATGAAAAGCTAGAAATCCTAGTTTTTGCAATTGGTTTGAAATCAGGTTTCCATCGCATTTTTTCTTCAATTTTTACCCGTTTGGTATTGTTTTTCGGTCAAAACTAACTTTTAAACCAAAATTACTTTTAGACAACATTACCAAACGAATTCTTAACCATTAATCAACCTAATATCAAATTAACCAACCGATTCACTTAATTAAATTTCGATTCAATCGGTTAATTTAGTTAAAACCAAACAATCAACACCTCTACATCCAATTAGTAGCATGTATAAATCTTAACATGCTAATTGTTTCGCAAACATCTCCCATATCTTCATTTTTGTATTATGTGCTAGAATCTATTATCTTACCTATTGCGATGTTAGTGTTGCTTTATCCTTGGTTGTGATAACAGATGGGAGAATGTACTTTTTGAATTTGATTGTGCTCTTTTAGTGAACAAATTGCTACGTGATGATGAAGATTTCTCTATCTTACCTTGTCATCTTCGACTAGTGAAGGAATGTTTCTCTTATTCATCGATCTTGTAATTCTGCAACAGATACTTTGGTCAAATGAAATTGTATATCATTGTCTTCACAATTTTTGACTCGGTTTGTCTCGAGATCATCTCTTTAGAGGTGACAAACGATGTACGGTTTACTTAATCTATGCAATTGGCCACTCCCCCCCTCATACGCTCCACACCTTGTGTTGATTAGGAGGAGTTTTTAATGAGACTTATTTTCCTTTTCAAAAAACAATCCCATCACAAACAATAGAGATAGAAACCAAATGTTGTAGGGAGATCTTCATGGTGAGACTTGCGTTAGTTTTTTTGGGCAGTTCTACAATACAACCTATTAATTTAAGATTAAAAATGATAAAAAGTGATAAAAATATAATATTTTATGCTATATCCAACTTAAAATTTTAATTTTTTCATAATATTTTTTTGTTAACAACTGAGAATGTTATCTTCTCTCGTAATATTTTAATTGCTAACAAAAAATATTATAAAATACGTCACATTTTTTGCTACATTCAACCAAAAATATTACTATTTTTTGTCACAATTTCAATTTTGTTCGTTTCGGTTGTTTTTTAAGCTGTTTTTTTTTTAACTTTGCCGTGTTACTATGTTTTCGTGAACAAGTATAGTACATCTTGTTATTATGCAAGTACTACATTTTGAGTGATAAAGAATTCCAGTACCATAAGGCTTTGTTGAATTGAGAGGGTTTACATTTTTAAAGTCCTTGCTGTTATTGACAAATGCATCATCCTTTCCAAATAAAACTGGGATTACCAGCTAGCTAATTTATATATATATATGGAGCTAGACTCGCTGATGATCTTAAATTACATAATGTTGAATGTATTTCATCACTTGAGTAGATCAATTAGACAGTGATTTTATATTGGTAGATTGAGAGGCTGGAAATTCGGAAATCTTTTCTTTTTGGTTTTTATTGCTGGAAAATGCAACATACCGGTTCCCTTGCAGCCGAGACACTAGGAATTGCATGCTCTGCAAGAAACTGAGAATTCTTTTGTGGGTTAGCTGTGAAGCAATTGTGGATTTGTTTTTGTTGGGGACAATGAATCCATGTATGAAGGCTCTGTTTTGCAGCTCTCGTCCTAAAATAAACAAACCTTGATGATGCAACTCATTCACTTGTGTTTTGATTCGCAATGCGCTTTCCAACAAACCTCTGGAGCTGGAGTTTGAGGATGGAAGAATCGTCACGTCTTGGAAAATGGGTACAAGTCTTATCTAACTATCGGGAGATGCAGAGATATGGAGTTCAACCATCGGATCCTTCCCTCTTCCCCCCAATCCTCAAAGCATGCCTAAACCTTCGTTCCCCATATTACGGGAAATCCATGCATTCTTGTTTGATCAAACAAGGTTATGAATCATTTGCTTCCATTGGGAATTCTATTCTGGATTTTTACATGAAATCTGGACACTTGGAATCGGCATTGGGTGCGTTCTATCGCATGCAAGACAGAGATTCCGTTTCATGGAATATCATTATTTACGGCCACCTGAATCTGGGTGATACAGAAGGAGCCCTACGGTGGTTTAATAAAGCTAGGGTAGCTAGCTTCGCACCGAATACTTCCACATTGGTTCTTTTAATTCAGGCATGCCGCAATGTTGGAGCTTACCATGAAGGACTAGAAATTCATGGGTTTGTGATTAGGAGTGGATTCTCCGCCATTGGTTCCATCCAAAACTCGCTGCTAAGCATGTATGTGTATATTAACATGGGGAGTGCACAGAAGCTGTTCGATGAAATGTCTGACAAAGATGTGATCTCTTGGAGTGTAATGATCGAGGGATATTTGCAAACCGAGGAAGCGGATTTTGCCTTGAAGTTGTTTCGGGAAATGGTGTCCGAGGATGGGATCCAACCCGATGGTATAACCGCGGCAAGTGTTCTAAAGGCCTGCAGCAGATTGAAAGACATTGATATGGGAAAGTTGGTCCATGTAGCGGTGATCAAAAGAGGAGATTATGGTGACTTGTTTATAGGGAACTCCTTGATTGATATGTATTCAAAGTGTAATGCTGTTGGTTCTGCATTTCAAATTTATAAAGAGATGTCTGGAAAGAACAATGTTTCTTGGAATTCTATGTTATCTGGATTTTTGCTCAATGAGAAATACTATGAAGCGTTGTCGTTATTTAATTTGATGGGGGAGACAAGCGTCGGGGTAGATGAAGTGACTATAGTGAATTTTCTTCATATATGCAAACATTTTGTGTTTGCATCTCTGTGCAAGTCAGTTCACTGTCTAATAATCCGTCGGAAGTACGAATTGAATGATTTGGTTATGAATTCTTTAATTGATGCTTATGCCAAGTGTAATCTTGTTGATTTTGCATGGAAACTTTCCGATGGTTTGAAGGGCAGGGATGTGGTGGCATGGAGCACGATGATAGCTGGGTTCACATACTGTGGCAAGCCTGATGAGGCTGTCGGGGTCTTCTGTGAGATGAGCAAAACGCAGGAGAAGCCCACTGTTACTACGATCCTGAACCTTCTCGAAGGATGTTCGATTTCAGCCGAACTGGGAAGGTCAAAATGGGCCCATGGTGTTGCAATCAGAAGAGACGTGGCGGCTGATGTAGCTGTTGCAACTGCCATTGTTGATATGTACGCAAAATGTGGCGCCATTGATACATCGAGAAGGGTCTTCAATCAGATGCAACAGAAAAATGTGGTGTCATGGAGTGCCATGATAGCAGCATACGGTATGAATGGTCTTCCCAGAGAGGCATTAGCATTGCTACCGGAAATGAAATCGCGGGGTCTGAAACCTAACTCTGTGACTGCTCTTTCAGCACTATCTGCATGTAGCCATGGAGGGTTAATCAAGGAAGGGTTTGCTTTTCTTAAATCAATGGTCCATGAATATGGGATTGTACCGGAGTCGGAACACTATTCCTGTGTGATTGACATGTTATGTCGGGCAGGAAAGGTGGACATTGCAATGGAATTGATCAAACAGATCCCTGGTTGTATCAAGGTTGGTGCAAGTGCTTGGGGAGCCCTTTTAAGTGCCTGCAGCAGCCGTGGAAACAGTGAGCTTGGTGTAGGAGCACTCTCCCATATTCTCAAGCTGGAGCCGATGAACTCTTCTGGGTATTTGCTGGGATCAAAAATGTATGCAGCAGAAGGTTCATGGGATGATGCGACGACAATGAGGTGGCTGGCGAAAGAGAGAGGGGTGAGGTTCTCTGCTGGATACAGTTTGGTTCATGTGGGAAACAGAGCTTGTAGATTCGTTGCAGGGGATTTCTCCAATTCTCGGGCTGAAGAGATCAACATCACGGTTGAGCGGTTGCATAGTTCAATGACCATCTACGATAGGATTCAATTCGAATGCTGAAGTATATTTTGGATCTTCGAATGAGTGATCGAATTCAATATCTGGTTAAGGCAAGGAGAGGGTTTTCCTTGAATAAAGGGAGTCAGAAAAATTGTATGTTGCTTGTCATTCTGTTGAACATATAAATAGATTTTGGTTAATTACAATTTCTTGTCCCCTCATCAGAAATTTTATTTTTCAGTTTTGCAGATTAACTGTTGTATAGAAACACGACAAATCTCATGTCTGATCCCAATTACATATTATCGGAATTGGATTTCATTGTTTTTTTTAAAGGATAATTCCATGTGTTTTTGGTTTGTCCGATTTTGATCACCAATTAAAAAAATGATAATAATATCTTAAATCAATGACATCTAATTTTTAAATCAGTGACTAAAATTGAACGAATTGAAAACATAAGAGGCCACTTGTGTAATTTATCCAATAAAATATTACAACACAACTCGAATAAAAATCATAATATGTATATGCTCTTAAGTCATCATCATTGTACTTTGACAAATATAGTGATACTCCTATGATGATATCGTTATCATATCGTAATCCTCAAAATATGTAACTTACAAATAAAAAAATATAAAGGTTAAACTTAAAAAGCTATGTGATACTCATATACTCTACTATATTTCATGAATTTCATAAAAATAAATACGATATTCTATTATGACTTTTAGGCGTTAATCATTTACTCTTATAATTTTAAGCATTATCATTTGTCTAGAGTATCTTATTTCATATCATCATACTTATTATGATGTACATTTATAACATTCTAGATTTATTATACACAATTTAAGATATCATGATATTTATAATTATGATAATTTATAACATACTAGATTCATTATACACAATCTAGGATATCATGATATTTTCATAAGTATCTATACATCAATGGTTTAACTGAGTTGTAGTATTTAATTCTATCATTAATATATATGTACGTATATCATGTATATAAACTTCAACACCATCATATTAAAATTCTATCATATAATCGTGTATCATGTAATCATATTATCTTGTTATTATATCATCGTATTATGTTATGCTTTTAATCTACCATCACAAAACATCAGTTAGGATGTCTGGAGTAAATTCTAGTAGGGGTTTATTTAGTTGATGCAGATCCAGAAACTCAATGGTATTGTATAATCGCTTTATTATAGTGAACGAACATGTAAGTCAAAATGCATTGTAGTACTAACTCAATATTGAATGGATGAACTTGAAGGTCCAAACTCAAGATCAAGAGAAACTTACATAAAATGGATGAACTTGAATGTCCAAACACAAGATGTAACTGCTCAATCTTAGGTATGACATTCTACCATACAACCTCTAACTGGTTTACTTGGGTATTTAAGAAGTCGACGAGTCTTTCGGACGTTTTCCAGAAATCATTGAATCTTCTAGACATCTTCCGAGAAACATAGTGATATTCATCATAGATAAAAAAATAATCTCTCTAATACTTTATATGAGAAAATTATTTTTTGGAACATTATTTCACCAAATTTACTATAACGCGATAACAAAGAAAAAAAGAAAAAAAAACTACTTCTGATACCGCTAAACTTTGTTCGTTAACTTGTTTATACCACTAAACTTTCAATTTTACCAACATAGCATTGAGTTTTAGTTTTACATTCAATAATGTCACTCCACCATTAAGTCACTAATAGGACGATGACATTACTAATGGTTGCTGACATGTTATGTCACACTAAAATGATATCGTTTTGGTGTGATTATTCTGATGCCTAAATCGAAATCATTTTAGACATTAAATTTTAGGGACGTATCGATTTTGCTATTGAACTTTTAAATAATTTACTTTTTTTGACACTACACATTTCGAGCAGCCAATAACGGTGCGTCATTGATCGTCTTTCACAACAAAATCAGTACCAAAATGTTCACATTTCAGTACTCATTCTTCTCATATGATTAGTTTTATTTGAAACCCACTCAAAATTGATGAAAATAAACAAAAAAATAGTCATTTTCTAGATGTTTGTAGATTTTCTTAAATATACGGGATTTAAGTGTTTGTTCGTAAGAAAGATGGAAAACATTATTTCAAGAAGACAAGCAAGCAACATACCTCAAAAACTAGCCTCATCGAATGAGCACTGAAAGTGATTGGAGTATTAATACGTTGAACTTTTACATGAATTTTCGTCGCTTTTGAGTGTGTTTCGTGGAAACTCAGTCCTAGGAAAAGAAATAGGAGTGAAATAAGAATATTTTGATACTGATCTTGCAGTGAAATATGACCTATGATGAGTGATGGTTGACTACAAACATCGATCGAAAGGGACAATGCTAAAAATGAAAATTGTTTACAATTTTAATGATAAAATTGATAAACCTCTAAAATTTAATATCTATAATGATATCGTTTTAAGCATCATAACAATTACATCAAAAAGATGTTATTTTGATGTGGAAAATCATGTCGTGATCTCATTATTGATTTAACGACTAAAATTTAATATTATAATTAACATTATTAAAAATTTAATAATATAAATAAATCAACGGACTAAATTAAGTGATACATGAAGTAGTCTTTCCTAAATAATATAGAACCTTTCCAAATATTTTTGTGGTTGGAATAATTACAACTAAAATAAAGTCTCCAAAGTGCCCTAAATTCAAAACCCTAAAGCTTCGCACGTCTCATCCCTACACGTTCACATGAATGGGAATGGTATCGATGGAACCCTAAAAATACCCCTCGTCCCTGAAACCTGAATGGAACTCTAATGGAATCCCCTCCGATAACGATATCGGATGGCTGTCCCACTTCTGGCAAGCCGCCTCCTCTCCGACTACGCGAAGCCCAAAATGCCTTAATCGTTGCACCAACCTCCCATTAAAATGGCACAGGGGCTCCCCAACTTAACTGAATGCCAAGCATGTGGATTTCGATGTGACAACGCCAGCAGTAAAAACCAGATTCAAACGCTTTACAGCGAGTGGGGCATTGTTCTTCTCTGCCCAAAATGTTATAATCGTGTTGACTCATCTCAAATATGCACTTATTATTTCAAAGAAGCCCCCAAAGATTATTTTTCATGTGCACAATGTAAGCGTTCCCTTCACAAAACATGCTTTTTAGATTACTGTCAGGTTTTAACCTGAAATGGCGAGAAAGGATTGAAGAAGCAGAAAATAAAGGTAGGTTACAGAAAGAAGTTCTCAGTATTTTCATTCATAAAATCTCATTTTGCCGATTACAATCTATATATTGCTTAGATTCATTCAATTATTTATTGACAGCTGTAGATTCTTTCTAACAACCCATAACCGTTTCATTTGTCTAGCTTTGCCCATGGAATTCCTCAGCCCAATTGCTTTGTTGTCTCAATTTGCCCTGTAATCTGTCCAAATCACATATCAGGTAATTCTCGTCCCTTCACTTTCCTTTTTGTATAATTCAAAATCCCTAATCTATTTTCCCATTTCCCATTTTCCCTATCTCCAATCCCTAATTGCTCATCCTTAATTCCCATTTTCTCATCTAAGGCCATGACAATACCCCCTTCTGCAGTCGATGTTTGTCCCCAAGGATCGAAATCAGGAAACTGCGCTTTTAGTACAGAAAAATCTTCCTAGGTAGCATTCTCTGGTCCCAAATTCACCCATTGAAACAATAATTGTGTGATTGTTTATATCTCTTTTCACCATTCGCTTGTTTAATACCAGTGAGGAATAAACACAGAGCTGCCTATCTACATTGACCTCCGGTGGATTTCGAGAGGTTACTATTTATCTCCAATCGTCTTTTTCAATAAACTGGTGTGGAAAACATGATGAATTTTTGAATTTTCAGATAACTGTAATTTGTAAGCCACTGATCCTATTTTCTCTGTGACTTTATAGGGTCCATAGTACATGGCTGACAACTTCAGGTTCTTCCTCAGAGCTACTGATGTCTGTCGATAAGGCTGGAACTTAAGGTAAACTTCATCCCCTACCTGAAGCTCTCTGTCACTTCTCTTTTTATCTGCATAATGCTTCATGCGTTGCTATGCCTTTACAAGTTGCTCTTGTAAAATTGTGTTCATACTGTCTCTTTCCTGTAGTAGTTGTTGTACATCTGTTACTTTTGATTTTGTTTGTCATGTCATAGTAGGAGGTATGTAGCCATAGAGAGCTATGAATAGAGTTGTTCCCAAAGCAGTGTGGAAGCTGGTATTATACCACCATTCTGCTTGGGACATCCATTTACTCCAATTTGTAGGTTTCATAAAACACATCCCTCTTAAATATTATTCCATACATTGATTCAATCTTTATGTCTGACCATCAGTTTCTAGATGGTAGGCTGTAGTGAATAAAGTATTAGTTCCAAGTAACTTAAGTAGTTATGTCTAGAAAAGACTAGTAAAAACCTTGTCTCTATCAGATAGGGCTTGATGTAAGGTAATTCTACCTTCTCGTTTGATTGTGGATCTAGGAAGGAAGCAAAACAACCTGCACAAGTGAATGGCTCAAAATAGAATGGATAAGGGTGGTAAACGTATGGTTTAATAGGTAGGCTATTTAATAAATGAGAGATGGAAGCGGAAGATGATTGAAATGGTTATGGTTATGGCGATGAAACAAAAGGATGGTTGTGAGGATAGTATCTTGAAGAACGCTCAAATAAGAACCAATGCTATAGAGAGCAAAGACCCAATCTTTATATTGTTTCTTCAAGGGGTGGTGATAAGTACTTTGACCCACTAGTTATATGAACTAGGAACCAGAAGTATCAAGATGAAAGAAGAGGGTTGACGCCACAAGTATAAAATACTTGATAAGTCGATAAAAAGTCACCAGGACTTAAGAAAGAGAAAAAATCTCACTTCAATTAAAATAAAAGGTCTGATTACAAATGATGAATGCTTTCCTATTTATAGGAAATGGAGGGGCATAGCCGAATAGAGACATAATGGTTCGACCAACCCTTGTATCTCCCTATAAAGACATAATTTAAATGCTAAAAGAGATGATGGTTCGGCCCTTGATGGAGGGAAATGATCCTTGGCCGAATAACACTTGTATCCTTTCAAATTG